AGAACGTATAAAACCTGAAGATTGGCAGAATGCTATTTCCCATGTAATTAAGGAAGAAAATAATATGTGGTGCTTGGACGGTATGATCGAAACGGTAGTTGAACCTTTAGTCATAACTTTAAGTTTCGATGATAAAGACGATTCCAGTGATAGTTCCGCAGAATCAATGGATTATGAAACTGCATAGATTTAGAATTCAAGTAAGTGATAACAAGCTTAATTTACATATTTTTATAATAAACAAAATACAATTATAAACATAGATGAATTATTATAACAAACATAGATAACCAACCTACTTTCATCTAGTAATATTCACAAATACCCATTTAATTTGCCAATATAGTATTTCTGAGACACTGGAAGAGTGCATTTTGATATGATAATGATACCTTTTGCAGTTTTAAGACGCACCTTCAATATTTTGTTCTAGTATAATACCCCATTTAATTTTCCAATAGTATTTCTACGCCACTGGCATAATATTTACATATTTTAACAATAAACAAAACAAAATTATAAACATAAATGATTATTACTACAAAAATAGATAACCAACCTACTACTTTCATATAATATTATTTAGTATTACCCCATTTAAACTGCCAATAGTTTTTATATGCCACTGGCGTAATTCTTTTTGGAAATAAACATGCATTTATGACTAGTTGGCAGGTGATTCTGATAACTTCTGCAGTTTTAAGGGCATGATTCCATTCATTATGCTCTGGTATAATATGATTGGGTAATTATTGGGAAGACGCCCTTTTCTTAATAATCCAATTTTTTTTTCAAAACTTACGTTTTAGACTTTAGGAAGGATAGTAATCTTCAAATTTATCTGCGGAAACCCCATACATTTTACTTTTTTTTCTTTTTTATGTATTATTTAGGAATTTTGAGGATCATTTATATAAGCTTCTTTTTAGAATTATATCTGTCCTGTCATACTGGAAACTGTCACGCCATTACAAATTCGCGGTGTTGCCAACTTCTCCAATCCTAATCAATGAAAAATAAATGTAAAAAACTATAATTACACCACCGGTGGAAATCGCAAAAAATGTGATATTTTGGGTTCGATTAATTTTAAGAACTCAGAATTTCGAAAAAAAAAATTGTTACACTAAAAAGTACTCATTTTATATAGTAAGATTTTAAAGAGCGTCTTCCCAATAATTACCAATTTTATTTAAATTGTTGTAATACACAATTGACTGAATATTAATATTATATCATCTATAAAGTAATAAACAATGTTTACTTTTTAAAAACTCAATTACTTTACCCAAAAGTCTTTAAAGTTTTTTCAAACAAGGAAATTTATTTATCTGACAACATAATTATGACTTGACGGCCAAAGTCAATGATTATCATCAACTAAAGAGGATAGCCGAATTCGTTTAATTTCTGCTGGGTTAGCCGTGACATTATCCCCCGAATACGTTCAGCTACATTTGAAACGTACACCGATACACACTTTTTAAAATTACGACGTTTAATATTTTCTTACTTTAAAATTTAAAAGTAATTCAGATATTCAAAAATCATTTGACCGGGCGCGCCCTTTTTACATCTACACTATAAGATATACGCTACCGCCACCTCACCCTACTCCTAACCACTTCAGAAGAGAGCGAACGAAGAGAGCGCGCGCCCAGCCGACGTTTCGAAATCGCGCGCGCGCGAATTCCAAACGTCGGCCGGGCGCTCTTTTTTTAAATCTACACCATAAGACATACGCTGCCGTTATCTCACCCACCTCCTAACCACTACAGAAGAGAGGGAGCGCGCCCGGCCGACGTTTCGAAATTCGCGCACGAAGTCGGCCGAGCGTGCATTTTTTACATCTACACTATAAGACATACGCTGCCGTCTACTCACCCACCTCCAAACCGCTTTAGAAGAGAGCGAGCGAAGCGAGCGCGCCCGGCCGACGTTTCGAAATTCGCGCGCGAATTTCGAAACGTCGGCCGGGCGCGCCTTTTTTACATTTACACTATAAGTCATACGCCGCCGTTAACTCACTTACCTCCTAACTACTACAGAAGAGGGAGCGAAGCGAGCGCGCGCCCGGCCGACAAAGTGGTTAGGAGTAGGGTGAGATGGCGGCAGCGTATATCTTATAGTGTAGATGTAAAAAGGGCGCGCCCGGCCGACGTTTCGAAATTCGCGCGCGCGCGAATTTCGAAACGTCGGCCGGGCGCGCTCGATTCGCTCGCTTTCTTCTGTAGTAGTTAGGAGTTAGGTGAGATAACGGCAGCGTATGACTTATAGTGTAAATGTAAAAAAGGCGCGCCCGGCCGACGTTTCGAAATTCGCGCGCGAATTTCGAAACGTCGGCCGGGCGCGCTCGCTTCGCTCGCTCTCGTCTGTAGTAGTAAGGAGTTAGGTGAGATAACGGCAGCGTATGACTTATAGTATAAATGTAAAAAAGGCGCGCCCGGCCGACGTTTCGAAATTCGCGCGCGAATTTCGAAACGTCGGCCGGGCGCGCTCGCTTCGCTCGCTCTCTTCTGTAGTAGTTAGGAGTTAGGTGAGATAACGGCAACGTATGACTTATAGTGTAAATGTAAAAAAGGCGCGCCCGGTCGAGCGCGAATTTTGAAGCGTCGGCCGGGCGCGCTCGCTTCGCTCGCTCTCTTCTAAAGCGGTTAAGAGGTGGGTGAGTAGACGGCGACGTATGTTTTATAGTGTAGATGTAAAAAATGCACGCTCGGCCGACATCGTGCGCGAATTTCGAAACGTCGGCCGGGCGCGCTTGCTCTCTTCTGTAGTTTTTAGGAGGTGGGTGAGATGACGGCAGCGTGTGTCTTATGGTGTAGATTTAAAAAAAGAGCGCCCGGCCGATGTTTCGAATTCGCGCGCACGATTTCGAAACGTCGGCCGGGCGCGCGCTCTCTTCGCTCGCTCTCTTCTGAAGTGGTTAGGAGTAGGGTGAGATGACGGCAGCGTATATCTTATATTGCAGATGTAAAAAGGGCGCGCCCGGCCGACGTTTCGAAATTCGCGCGCGCGCGAATTTCGAAACGTCGGCCGGGCGCGCTCGCTTCGCTCGCTCTTTTATAATGGTTAGAAGGTGGGTGAGATGACGGCAGCTTAATATTAGCAAGTTTCTTGTTGTACACTTGTTATATTCATTTTGAGTTATACCCTAACATGTCAAATTTCTTAAATATTTTTTAATTAAAAAATGTTTAAATAACATGGCCATGGTATTCAAATTTATTACCTATTTATTTACTCCTATAATTTTTTAGATGCGTGTAATTTTCTCTCTCGGTCAAATGATTTTTGAATATCTGAGTTACTTTTATATTTTAAAGTAAGAAAATATTAAACGTCGTAATTTTAAAAAGTGTGTATTGGTGTACGTTTTAAATGTAGCTAAACGTATTCGGGGGATAATGTCACGGCTAACCCAGCAGAAATTAAACGAATTCGGCTATCGTCTTTAGTTGATGATAATCGTTGACTTTGGCCGTCAAGTCATATGTTGTCAGATAAATAAATTTCCTTGTTTGGAAAAACTTTAAACACTTTTGGGTAAAGTAATTGAGTTTTTAAAAAGTAAACATTGTTTATTACTTTATAGATGATGTAATATTAATATTCAGTCAATTGTGTATTACAACAATTTAAATAAAATTGGTAATTATTGGGAAGACGCCCTTTAAAATCTTACTATATAAAATGAGCACTTTTTAGTGTAACAATTTTTTTTTTTCGAAATTCTGAGTTCTTAAAATTAATCGAACCCAAAATATCACATTTTTTGCGATTTCCACCGGTGGTGTAATTATAGTTTTTTACATTTATTTTTCATTGATTAGGATTGGAGAAGTTGGCAACACCGCGCATTTGTAATGGCGTGACAGTTTCCAGTATGACAGGACAGATATAATTCTAAAAAGAAGCTTATATAAATGATCCTCAAAATTCCTAAATAATACATAAAAAAGAAAAAAAAAGTAAAATGTATGGGGTTTCCGCAGATAAATTTAAAGATTACTATCCTTCCTAAAGCCTAAAACGTAAGTTTTGAAAAAAAAATTGGATTATTAAGAAAAGGGCGTCTTCCCAATAATTACCCTCAATTTTTTTGTAAAAATCGGTGAGTTTTGTATATTCTCAAATTTTTCCCAATTTTGTGATATTTTTATTTAAAAAAAAAATTAATTGTGTCCCGAGTTGTGTCTTTATTTTTAATTTGTACAAGATCCGGAACTAAGATTTTTTGTTTACAAGTAAGTAGGTACGTATGTTAAGTTCTTTCATAAGAAGAGCTCAAACTAGACACTGGCCTCATCTTATAATTAATACAATAACTTAATACAAACAATTTATGATAGCCTTAATTTACATCTGTAGGTATTAAATAATTCTTTTTGTAAGACTCAAGGGCTGTTCAACAGTTCCGGATTTCAATTACTTATATTCATCCCATGCACCTTCATTTTTTTAAAGGTACCTGCTATACAAATATTTATGTAATGTCGCAATATTTAAAGTTTCAAACTATTATACGAACTCTTGACCTTGATCATACACGTATATTGACTTCTAAATCTATGTAAACACAAAAATAAACAACAAACACTGCAGAATTTCCTCGTTGTATGTAAGAAAAGTGTGACACCACTCGACATAGTATTTTAAATACCATTTTCTTTTATACACTGTAACTCGTTCAACAATATATTACCCTGGGGCTATTCGCATGTTAAAAAACAAACATATACACCGGACAAACACCTTCAGGCTGTTTAAACCCAAACTGGTACCTGGTAATGTTTTTACTTACCACTTACCAATAACCAGGTCTCTGAATTTCAATTTTGCAGCGATGCAAAACTGCGTACAGAATGTAGTCATTTTTATACTCGACCACTTGACAGTTGAATATTAATTTGTTTGCGAAACAAAGCCTTCTGAGAGTACAAAAATATTTATTCTATCGCCATAGAAACGCAAAAATTAAAATTTTATTTTAAACTTACCCAGAGCTCGGTGCCCCAATTGAGATTTTCCGTTAAAGCGGTCATAATCCAAAATAAGTTAAACACTGAACAGATTGACACAACACAAACACTATTTATTACGAAAATGTCTAGGAATTTACACTCTTTTCACCGACACAACCCAACATGGCTGTCCTTACACTTATCTGTTCGTTAGACAGAATCAAATTGAAGAATGAAAAATGAGTAAACGGGGAGCAGATGAAAATGACTCATGGAGATCTAGCGGATGTTATCGGTAATACAAAGTGAGTCATCTCGTTCTCTAATTGAAAATCAGTAAACAGAAATCTGCATGACAATTTATGAATAAACTATTATAGTTTCCTATTTACCTAACTCTTTCTTGAGTCTATTCACATGTAGATGGCGCATTTTTACTGTCAAATTTGTAGAACAGAAGTAAAAGTTGGAAATGCTTTTGCCAGTTCTCCCACTTTATACACATAAATTGACAGGTTGGCACCGGATCTCACCGAAGTGGACGCGATACATTGGCGTACAAAATTATTTTATAGATGTTAATAACAATTTCGAGTAAATAGTTTAATAAATTGTGAATAGCTGCTGAAATTTTGTAAAATTATAATTTGAATATTATAATACATGTTTAATAATTATTTATAATCCATAAATACATGCGATTGTCCGGTTCCGCCGATAACAATTTAAAATTACTTATTCTATGAAACGACACTGGCAGGTAAACATTACTGTGAAATTCTCGGAGCCGCCCGACGTGGTTTGACGTTTACCCCCTCTCTATCTACCAAAAGACTTTTCAACTTTTACTTTCTCTTTACTTTCTTCTCTTCTTTTTTTATTATTCTTTCGTATGGCCTCTTACCCACATACTTTGATTACTACAGTTCATCAAATTTCTAGAGGTGTTCGACGCCCAGACAGAGAACGCGCTACGTGTGACTAAGATAGCTGCTATTGTACAGTCTGCTAAACAAGTTATTTTAAATAGTTTTTTATATTTTTAGGTAATTAAATTTTAAAAGTGTGGAATAGTTTAGGGATTAAATTGGTCTGATTGGACTTTCTTAGAACGTTTTTAAAAGCAGCTAAAGATAGTATGTAGAATTGAAAATAATTATTATGCCATAAAAGGTGTTTTGGAATTCCTTCAACCTTTTGAAATTGAGTCAGAAAATATAAATTTTATAGGATAGCGGAAAATACCTATAATTTTTTTTTAGGCCTTTGTAAATCGTGGAAATAGTTTATATTTTATTTCTACCTTATTAAGGAAAATGGTACATATTATTAATAACGGTTGTTTCTGAAACATTACTAAAATTTTCGAAATTTTGTTTTTCTACAAAATAATAAACTATACTATTTAGAAAAAAATTTATTTCTCTTATAATTTTATAAAAAATAACAGGGGAATATTTACATTTCTTGATCTATTAAACAAAACGATAAATTATCTCGACGAATGACACCATGTTCTAGTACGGAAGCTAGCTTTACATTTTTGTTGGTGGTTTCATGGGTTTCATATCAATTTTTTGTAATTGTAGTTTACACGTACATATACCTCTTGACACTTGTTTGCTTTATTAAAAAAGTGTGTTGTTGTGATTTACGTCGAAATAAGTCAAAAACAACTTGAAACCCCATATAAAATCAAAAAGGAGAAACGGAAAAAAATTGAGCCTGTAAATGAACACAACTCAGAAACAAAAATAGCTATATCTAATAATAAAAAAATAAAATTTGATTCTTGTGCAGCTTCATCTATATCATTAACTGTTTTTGGTTTTTTAATGGTTTTTCTTGGTGATGAAAATTCCGATATCTCACGGTTATCGATTCTTTTTCTCTCTCCAGAAATGCGGACGACAGTGTTTTTAGATACTCCTGTGGCTGCAGCAACACGATCATTTACATTTTTAAATGGTATTGAAGGTGAATTAAAGTTTCCTTCTCTTCTCATAAACTCTATAACATTGGCTATTATTTCGCGAGATTGACTGTTAATCACGCGGCCTCTTAATTTGCTATTAAACTCCATACTTAGGTTCTATTAAACTGTAATGAGCAAAAAACAAACGAAAATAAAAGAAATGTTTTAGCGAAATTTACATCTGACATTTACGTCTGAATGAAATAGTGAAATACTTGATGCGCAGAGTGTACTTTCATTGCGTAAATCCGTCGGGATGCCTGTCAGTAGTACTTTCTCTGTCTAGATGTCGAAAGCCTCTAGAAATTTGATGAACTGTGATTTTGAACCCTGTGACACAGTTTACAGCTAAAGAATCAGATCGCTCACTCCTCCGAGCAATTACTAATAGAGGGAGCGTGAAAACGAGTTTGTAGCACATACTTATAATAGGTATACGGAGCAAGAGAGACGTCCGACCTGTTTAACATAGGGGCGGCCATTTTTATACAAGATTACTAGTACATAGGTGACCAGAAATACAGCAATATGAAAACTTGGTTGCAGATGTCTAGGTCTTTTCACTTTTAAATACATCATTTTGTACAGATTTTTTAAAAGAAATAATACAATATTATATCTGAATTAAATTTTTATTCTACAACAAAAAAATATTTTAATGTTTAAAAATATATGTTAGGACCAATTCCACCGTTGTGTTAAACGGATATTAAAATGACATTGTTAATGTAAAAATGTAATTTTAAACTTCGTTTAACACAACGGTGGAATCGGTTCTTAGACTGATAAATAATAGGCCGACAAATAATAGATTAAATACCTAAATACTAATTTTAAATGACAAAAGTACAGTAGAGGAAGTTAAAAATATTAAAATTTCCAGGATACTTTAAAATTAAATTGATGGTTGCATATTTGTTTTATTTTAAACAATTTACTTTCTTCTTGTATAATTTCTAAAAGCTACAAATTTTTAGTGAACGAGTCGTCCTTATTGATTCTGCAGTGAATTGTACTAACAACTTAAAATAAATTTTGTCCAATCTCTATATGGCAGATAACCACAATAAGGAACGATCTGCTTGTTTTGGAACCCTAAAATAATATAAAGACGCTTCTTTCATATCCTTTATTTTTGCTAAATCTTATTACTTACTTGTGGAATGTAACATTTGAATATATTGGCAACAGTCTTCTTATGTTCTTGCAAGATCTTACAAGACATCTTGAATAAAGCCCAGTATAGAGAACTTATACTGGGATTAAAGTCTATTCACAAATGTTAAAATAAATAAAACGTTTATACACTTGGAAAATAATATCCACAATCAAAATATTCTAAAATAACACAAAAAAATTTAACCAAATTCACACATTAAAATTTGACACTTTTGACAGATGGAAAGATAAATTGGTTGCATAAGTTTCAGTTTGTTTATATAAAAATGGCGGTCATTTCTATCTTCTTTTATTAAACACTCAGTAAAGATGCGCAGAGGGTTTTACGCCGTATACCTATTTAAGTATGTGGTTTGTAGGCGATTGTTGTGTTAGCAACATTTGTAGAGGAAGTGGGCACAAGGGGGAAGGTAAACATCCTTCTTGTTCAGTGGCGTATCATTTATCTATAAAAACACATTGTCCAAACGTTTTAATTGTAAAAAAAAAACTAAAAAATTTGCTAATTTTACTATTTTTAAAATGAATACCGTCATATATATGTCTAATGCAGAAAAAGATACAAAATCACTGTAAAGGTCTAATTTTTTCAATTGAAGAATAAAACCTTAAAATAAATTTTATTATAAATACAGGAGCGACTAGTTTCGGCCTTACAGGAACATCTTCAGGCATGTAATACAATAATATTTAATTATTATAATAGGTTGGTCACTTACGAATAACATTAAATAGTATAAACCACATAAATTGATCCATATTGTAGCGTTACAGCAATATAGAATTAAAGCTGTGAAAATAAAAGAGCATTGCAAACGTAACTAAAAATAAGAAAACTGAGTACGGAATCTACAAGAGAAGAGGTGAGAATGAGCAATTACGAATGCATTTAAATTGCTCGGGATAACAAATAAAGCTGATAATGTAGTGGTATAGTCCCCATCAAAGAAGGTCTGGATATGTTAAAGAAGACGCGGCGTTTTCTCTGTAAATCTGGAGAATTTAAGGATGGAGGGAAGACGAATCTTGCTGGCTCAGGTGTAGATGGCTAGAAAAAGGAGCGTGTAGATGAAAGCTCCAGTAAATATCGTCACTTTCGTCTAATTTTTATTCTCACTCACCGTTTCGGCTTTATCTTCGAAATTCATTTTTAAAAGGAAATAAAAGTAATCATTCATACAAGCATATAATAAAACAACATGAATTTATTATATTTAATAAGCTAATAAACGTTTGTTTTAATGAAAAAAACATATATGTGAGTATAAAAAATATATAAATAGATAAGATTATTATCAAAATCAATTTGAAAATACAACAGATAATAAAATGAAATAAATTAATACAAGTACAAATATAAAGTTAATAACATACCTTCTAAAATAACACATTTTAAGTAGATAAATGTTTAAAGAGTTTATTCCTGAACATAACTAATCTAACGTTTTTCCCCTTTTAAATATTATGAGGGTTTTTGTAGTTGAAGTGAAAATTATAATTTATTTTGGTCCTAATAAAAATTTAAACATAGGTTATCAAAGAGTAAAATTCATAATAGAACTTGTTGGAAGGTATGAAAGGTCCTTATATTAAACACACAGTGAATATCCTTTATAGTTCATTTATTAAAAGATAGCCGTAATTATAATGATGCTTATTAGTCGAGTGCGATTATATAACTAATCTTTACTGGATGTTATTGGTTTCAATCGGTCTTAAAAATACACATATATATTGTTGACAGTAATATGAAGAATAACCGACTCAGCTTGCTAGAAGGCCATTCTCCATATACCAAACAAACAGAATATTATTTTTGTATAACAACCAACACACCCCCTCAAAAAATATATGAGTTTGAACTCGTTACTATACGGCTTACAGCTTAAGGCTTACGGGGAAGTTTAACAACTAATGATCCAACATTTATTGCAAGGGTTAGGGAAAACCCCATAAAAACCTAACCAGATCATGAATACTTAAAAATGAATGAATAACAATTTTAAATTCTAATTAGCAAGTTAAATTAAAAAAAAAAAAATCTTGCTTCTTATTTCTCTTGCA